ACACACACACACACACACACACATACACTCCTTTCTCTCTAGGAACGTAACGACACGCAGCTTTAGAGTCGTGGGTCGAGCTTGAACGATTGAAAAAGTTTGCAGCGCGTCATGCCCGCGCCTCGACTCTACATCTGCGGCTCTTATAGACTCGGTCGTAGCTATTCTCTTCGCGGATCTATGTCTGTTCTTTATCTTCGCCAAAGTTTCCCCGTAGCGCCGCTTAGGCATTATTATTCTTCGGGTGTTAGTCTATTATAATGCATCGCTAGCTAGATTACGCTTCCGCACTCTTGATTATCGCGTACAATCTTCTCTCCTGCGAACCTCGTGCGCGTGACGTGTGCTGATTAAAAACGAGATGATACGACGTTCCGTCGAAACTGATATAACGAAAGAAGCCGAAAACGGCGCGATAAGTCGGCTAGATTTGCGTACACCTCACTCGAGGTGTCGTGATTCAAGCCGACACCCGGGACAAGCTTATACGAAGAATGTCAATCGTTAACGAGAACTTGGAGTCGAGCCGATGCGAATGCTCGTTACCGTCGAGTCGATACTCTCGTGCACGCACGTACGTACACATACACGCGCGCGTGCGCTTAGAGCATGTAAACTACATGTCTCCGCTCGATTGGATTCATCGAGCGCACTCGCGTTCGTGCACTTCGCTAATTAGACTTGCATTATTCAGTCAGATGAATCGGAAGCCAATCGGTTGTGCGCCATTAATCGAGATCCGGCGATATATGGTGAAAATAACAGCGGATTCCGCGCTTTTCGCAAGAGTGGCAGCTTCCGCGCGGGCGCAGGTCAACGTTTAAGGATCTATAACGGGGGTTGAACGTACGCCCGCTCTATAAAGAATTTTTATGCTAGCCGTGCGCGCGCGATAACGTTTTTGTATTCCAAGTTCCGAACGGCGACGCAACGTCCGTCCACGTCGTAAAATAAAAGAGCGCGCCTCGTGCGTTTCGTAGGCATAACCAACTCGGCAATCTCGGCTCTAAAACGCAATCGCGACAGCGTTTTTCAGACGGCTGCGCTTCTGCTGTGTTCTCGTAATCCGCGCAACGGCGCGATCGAATTAGCCGCAGTAAAAACGGACGTAAGAGCAATTGCACACGACGACTGAACGTATACTTCCTTTTTTACCGCGCGCGCCAACTTATCCCGGTAACTCCGTAAAGACCGTGAAGGCCTGTGTGTCTAAGGGGAAGTTCAGGGGTACACCGGTGTCTATAAGCAACACAGTGTGCACAATGCGATTCAATTGACTGGAAATTGCAATAAAACATGTCGCGGGGTGCGTTACAGCACACACCGTTATAGATGTACCTTCTATAATTAAATCTGACGTATCGCGTTCGATCGATATCATCAATTTTATTTTCTCATAAAATAATTCAAAAAACTTGAAAGGATGATTCACTTTTTATACAAGTTATCTTCAGATCTTCTATTTTATACAATTATCTTCCGATGGGAAAGCCCACGCAGAACGAACGAGCGTAGTGGTTTTCAGTCACTCGCGAAGTTGTCGATCGTTCGGAGATCAGTGTCTGCAACATGAGTTTACACACGACGCATGATGTTTCGTATCGAAACGTTCATCATTCGTCTCGTATCTTATATATCACTCAGTGTAACGCCGCCATGAAGATTTAAGAACCCCGGCCGGCTGGCAGATGGAAAATCGCGCGTGTAGAGACGCGGAAGAGCCCCATCCGCGAGCGTTGCGAAGCTCATAACCGAACTTGCGTACGGCGCTGCATAAACTTGGGGAATCGCGGTTATGCCCGGCATATACGGATGGAAATATAAATAAACCTCGTGCCAGATAGCGCCGCGGGCGAGATTAACGATAGCCCGAGGTGCCCGAAGGAGGCACAATAATCCTAACTCACTCGACGTTTATACGGGGCGATCTTCTTCCTCTCTTTCGTTACCGGCTCGACCCCCGTTCCCGTCGCGATCTCGCGGGTTCGGCTTTTCCTACTACTCGCAATAAACCTCGTTTTGTCGTAAAACATTTGCCTCCGGCGTGTAGACGCTCGTGGCGAACCTGCGCGTAGCCCGGGAGTGAGAAGGGCGAGGAGGGTATATTTTCTTAAAATAAATATCTTACGAAAGCACGTCGTAATCCTCCGCTATGCGCGCGGCCGCGATCGTTAACTCGCGCGCGCTTTACCGCCCGTGCAAACCGTACCGATCTAAAATCCCCCCACACATTGGTGTAGCCGCTGACTTTGATTATGTTTGTTCGACGATGCCGTCTCGTAAATCGGCAATGCGGGTCGACGGCGGCTACACAAAGTTGGAGCGACGCGTCGGGCTAACGCTGTGATACTCTCCGACAAGTGAATGCGGCTTTATTGCCGGATAGGGCTTAATTCTTTCAATGGATTTGTTTGTGAATCCATGTGTTTTATCTCTCTCTCCGGATGCCGATCATGATTTAATATCATATCCAAAGATGTTCTGTAGAAACAGGCATTGCTCGGGATTACTCTGAAGAGCCGCAAGTAGATTCATATATTTGTTTCACACGTTCCAGAGAAATGATAATTTCATGTCAGCAAAACTTCGTCGTTTTTTCTAATGGTAGTATAATTCGATAATATCTGCGAGAGATCCCTTGATCGAGGAAACAGATTTTACACATTCGATCATTTCGCTGTTCACGGAACTCTTTGCAGTATCTCGTCTCAAATCAATCACGAGTACACAACGTCGATGTTTGGCGCCAATGTCCTCTTCCCAGCTGGCGTTCGCGGATGCTAACGCACGAAAATTATTCATGTCAGCCGGTGCTAAATTAAACACAGTCACTATTCCTCGTATAGTTTGCACAAAGAAACTGACCGCGATACTTACGTCGCACCGTGCAAAAAGCGACGTACCGAACGATCCAAAGGTCAAGAGCGTCCAAGGTTCGTGTGTGTAACGCGGAAATAAATATTAACTAACCTGCCATCAACGATGCACACACGTCCTATTTTTACATTGTATCTGATTAAGAACAAATTTTCCAAATAAAACACCAACTGACTTATTTCTTCGCGCGATTTTTCTCTATATATTCTTTATTACTTTAATTTCGATTGATTTTTTCGCAAAAGTACTACTTCAAGTTGATTCAGGAATCTATCATCTCTTAAAATAATAAGATTCTTAATAAACTACGATGGTTATTTTTGCAAAGCAGCTCGCTCACATATCGCTTCTTTTCGTAAAACTCTGCAATCAAGAACGACGTATCGTGTGGGTCGTTTTGCGCACAGTGGAAACTTGCCAAATACTTTTACATCCATATGACGCGAACGACAGATTAATTGAGACGCCATAAGTTATACTTAGTCATTAGCGTATTTAAAAAAATTTTATTGATCATAAATTACCCTTCTTCATATCCAAATTCGACATCGACAGAGACATCTACGTAAACGTACGCTGTAGTAGAACATTACGATAATAAATAAATATTTCCTATCGGGATATGTTAATGACAATATCATCCTGCTGCAGCAGGTAGCCGCTTTTTAGCGATATTGGTATTATCGTACTTATCGCTGCCGGCAGTGCGATTAAGTTTTTATGCCGCACGTGCAGCAGCCGTTAAACTTTGCCTTTGCTGGATGCTCACGTTAGTACAGAATTTTTTTATTAATTATTTCTTATACTGTCTTTCATACAGAGAATTTATTATCGTCCTTGTTTCCATTAAGCGGATTGCGTAGAAAGCTTCTTATGTTTCATCTCGTGGTGACATTATTTTAACGAACACATTATAAATGCCTAATTTATATAAAACAGAAAATATATTATTCTCTTTAAAACATGACATACACACTTCTTTCGTTGATATTTTCTCTCACGTTGATCTTAGTGCGTATAATCACACACGCACTAAGCGGTTCAAAGGATTGCACTGTCGCATTTTTTTCCCAAACCTAATCAGCAGTAACGAACAGCATCATAGAGTGCCGCCATTTATGAATGCAATTTATGCTCGTAGTAGTTTCACTCTCGTTTCCGTTAATCACACTCGTTCTCTCCGACCAATCGCCATTAAATCACTCGCAATGCATTGAGCGAAGCTGAACTCGACGGCGCGTAAAGCAACATCTTAATGCGAGAACGCTGATGACGCCATCATCGCGTCGTCCCTAGCGTAATTTTTCTCGCCGGCTTCTATTCTCGTTTCCAACATAAAATCAGAGCGAATGTACGTTCCCATGGGCGCCGTCAGGGAACTGCAACGGAGTGCACTTGCATCTAGTAAAGAGCTTTTGAGATCAGAATATAATTTCGTTCATTTTCGCAGAATTTCATACGATGATCAATGATTAAAAACGAGAGTAGACATGATTTAAGGCGATAACGAATCAACGACAATGGAAGAGCGACGTGAAGTATATCGAGTTTTTTTTATCTTTTTAAGATAGCGTGACGCCAGTTTGCCGTCCGAACTGCCTTCCGAGCTGACACGTTAATCGTGTCCTCTCGCCGTTGTAAAAAAAAAAAAAAATATTAACATCCAGCGTGTACCTCGTTGTAGAGAAAATCCTGTCGGCGCCCATGTGCGATGCCCCACTACGAACGCGACGTTTCCGCGGCCGTCAGCCGGTTTCTGTCGGTGTTCGCCGCTCGTGGGATGCTGCCAACTCGTGAAGTTTGCCGTCACACACGACCCAAGAGTGCCGACTACCAACCGGGATATTTCTAGTCCGGCTCTCCCCGCGACTTAGTACCTGACCGCGTGTGCACGGTGCATCTCGTCGCGACGCTCGGCCGGGTGTTTCCGATATATACACTTCGCTGCTCGTTGCGTGTAACGTCGCGTCGCGCGGTGGGTCTCTATTTTACCAAATCGTGCGTCGTCCGATATTGTGACGGATGTGACAGGCCGGAAACATGGCCGACAGGAATATCGTAAAGCCGAGGAGAAAACGGCTGGACGACCTTTCTAAGTCAAGGTCGGAGAGGTCGGAGAGACCAAAGGAACCGGCCAGGCCGCCGCGAATGAGGACGCAGGCCGTCCATGCCACAAATACGCACAATTCCAATCACGGAAATGCCGCGCAACGCGATGCCTTTGGGGAAGTGCAGAGCAAATCGAGTTAGTTGCCAAGTGCTTCCGAGCGTTTCCAAAAACGCGATCGTCTAACCGCCTGATGAACGACCTGCTTGATCCACGGGAAATTGTGCAAAAAAAATCGAAAATGTCCCCGTCCGACCTCCTTCTCTTGACACTTTGTTCTCAAAATCATTCGCAAAATAATAAGAACTTGTTCTGAAAACAATTGCACTTTTAAGTAAGCAGACGGTTATCCAGCGAAAGCAAAGGTATTCTCGTGGATTGAGCATGCGCGACAGTCTTAAATCTTTTGTTAATTATGGCGAGTTTCTCGCGGAAATTTCGAAAGACGTTTGTGACAATATATTTCTAAGATAGATACGGCAATTTCTTTAGATTTACAAGTCGGACCTGGAACTGGCTTTGTTCTTTTTGTTTCTTTTTTTTTTTTACAACAACGCGCGAAGCGCAAGCGCGACAATGAGCAAAACGATTAAATTAAACGTATCGTTCAAAACTCTGCTTTCAGCCGAGAAGGCCCCGATGACGACTCTCGACGAGAACGTGAACCGCGTACCAGGACAACGTAAGACAATGGAAAATATGGGTGAGTCTCTTCTCTCAGCCGACTATAAGTGTTTGCTCGACCACTCTCTCAGAATCTGGCCGTACGTTTTTCATCGTTTTCGCGGTCGTAAATCGCGTCGCTGATCACGGCCGCGGTGCTGAGAGCCTCCTAAAAATGTAACGATTCGGTTACGACGACCGACTTCTCGCGCGCATGAGGGGCATATCCCTCCCTCCTTCTCTTTCACTCGTAAAATACTTTTCCTTTGTGTGTACGAAAGAAAGCCAACAAAAGCGCTCGACTCGTCGGGAATTCTCGCTGGATCAGATTTTGCGACGAGTTCGCGGCCAGCTTTCTCGGGCATCGCCCGACTTCTTGCGATTCGCGAAAGGTTTGCCGCGAGTTTACAACTTTTCCGAATCGGCAGAAGCCGCCTTGTTCTTTCGGATTCACGCGAGTCCTCGTAACATCGCCCGCATACATTTTAGGCATAATGCGGAAGAACGGATGCGATGTGAAAGTTTATTATTAAATCGCGCGAGTGACGGCAGGAATTTTCTTCAACAGCGCGAAATATTTCTTCCCTCGCGTGACCGATCGCGAATGAGTTTCCTCATCAATTCGACCGTTCTTTTACGTCATCTCTCGAACATAGTATCATAATGAATACCATTTGATAACGCTTTAGTTTCGATTTTTTAATCCATCTCGGTAATTGCACGTTATATCGTTTGCTCTCCTTAAAAAAAGACAGGTTGCTTTAATTAACGTTACATTTGTGCGAGTAATTTCTTTGAATATTTATTCATACGTCGGTTTACATTCGCGAGCTGGTAATAATAGCTCCACGGAGAATTATGTAAAAAAAAGGAAAAAGAGAAAAAAAATTCCATGAGTTGCGCGCGTTAAACGTATAAAATGATCTCGTCGGTCTCGTTGATGCCAGCAAACGCGCATTGTGCTTCTCCTGCTGCCTGTTCTTGCGTCGCTCGTTCTCCAGCACGTTTCAGTTAATTAGATCTCCGCGTTCCCTTTTTCCCCGTCGTTGTAGAGTGCGTCCCGTTCCAGACGAGAAATTCGTCGTCCTGTACTTACGGCCGTAACACGCTAATGATTCGTACGATTGCGAGATTGCAAAGGACCCCTGAGGTCGCATAGCGTGTGCACTACGTCGACAATGATGACGCGTATCTGTCGTGGAGGTAGAGACGGCAGCGGCGGCGGTAAGGAGAAGCAGAAGAAGCCGGTACTGTAGAATTGGCACTCGCGCGGGTATAATTGGCCGTTCGTTCGCAATAAGTAATCGCCGAGGGCTCTCACTCCTTCGGGGAAACGCTCCGTCGTGTAACACGGTATCTCCGATCTCGTCAACGTTACTCGTAATTGAAGATGTCCGTTGTATACCTGATCTTCTTATTGAGATACGCCCGTAATTGAACGGGGCTACCTTTCGATACGTATACGAGACTCTTCACGGCCGAGACGCTTGATGACGTACATATTTGCAATATTCCTCATATAAATAAAAGCGAAGGTCTTAATAAATACGATCATTAAAACATTATTTATAACGCGCAGTCAAACTATCCGCAAAATGTATTCGCGTACGAGAACACACAACTTTTGTCAATAATTTCAAGAGGAATAAGATAAACGTTTGATATTCGTTCATTTTTTCGAGCATCTAATTTTTACGAGTTTGAGAATTTTTATTCGCTTATTCCTTGCCGTCGAAATTACTGAAACATGCGAAGCAATCGTCAGCGAAAATGTTAATGTTCATCGAACACACACACATATATATATATACATATATATATATATAAGACGAGTTAATGCGACACGAGCAAAGGTTGAAGAGCGTGTCGCGCATAAGTCGGCTGTAATGCGTCGCTTTGAGTATGACAAAGCATAGTACTGGATGTCATTGAAGACGTTGGCCATGACACTGATGAGATAACACGTTATTATGATTATCGTATTATATCGTCACTTAGTCGAAATTACGAATGGTCCGGGATGAATGTACGCAGTTTTATCGGGTCACGCTATTGACGTCACTAAAAACTCGCACTCGTTGCTTTGTATCGTCGTGCATATCGGTGAAATTTTTATTGCACTCTTTTTTCCAGCAAATACAATATAGAGAATAAATAAAAAATATTAAAAGTATGTCTATTAATTACACGGGTCGCGTGCGATAATTATCGCGGGTCAGATAATAGTATATCGATCTCCGCGTGAGGCAAGGTTTTATCGCTCGACCCAGTTCTTCTCTAATTAGATTCCGAATGTCGCATCAAACTGCAGTTTCACCCGATATCTCTCGATATCGTTAATAAATGTGCGCGGAAGTGTGGTGAAATCAGTTGGCCAGTTGTTTTACGCCTTGATAATGGAGAAATATCGCCGTGCGAAGCAAAGTGCCGCTGCTTGTTTCTTAATCGTACGTGCATTTATTATTCACTCCAGCGCATGCTGGAAGATATCGCAGGTATATCGAAGATAATCTCAAGGAAGAATAGGCGCGACCTGTTGTACGCAAAAATAGACGTGATTTTTCTACGCGGCGAAAACGTAAGAAATCGGATGATGAAGCCGCTTCCCGCTCTAATAGCCTCTGTGTGTCCTTCTGCCGTGTAATTATCGTCGATGCACTATCATAAGGCGAATAACGGACGACCGATTAGCGTATCGTACTAGACGGTAGTAATTTCACAAACGAGAACTTCTTATTCCTTCTTTCGCGTTTTCCAATTTCACTTCAAAAACCGAGTATTTCATTTTTCCACGACAACGGCACTTTTCTTACCGTTTCTTTGAGCGGAGAAACTCGGCTTTTTCCGCACGTGTGGGAAATTGCTTCCAGGAGAAATTCATCGATCTCGAGAAAATATTAACGATGAAATTAGAAAGAAAGATACCTAGTACTCTTCCTATATACTGTATGAGGTATTTAATACAAATTATAAAAAGCGCAGTTTCTTTTACATCAACTTATATTATAAGCGCAAAAGTATAATTATTGATGAAGTGCGCAAAAGAGCCGTGTGACTTTTAATATTCGCGTATGCCAACTAGTTTGGCTCGCACACCGCGCTGTGCGGATATCTTAAATAATTTCGACGTTCTCGACGCCCGGGACTACGATGCTGACCGAGCAGACACGTAATTTTCTCTCCCCGACACAGCTAGCGAGACGTTCAAGAGAATACAATCTTTCGGTTACTTTTACGTCCAACTTTCACGAGTCACTCCGATCGGACAGCCTGCCGCTCACGCTGACGGTTTAAATCCCATCTCTCTCACAGCTGATCCGAGTCACGTGTCACGGGTCAGCGCGTTAGACACGTAACCGGCGGCGGTTAGTCTTGGACTGTTTGTTTTCGTGCCGCGTGCAATAAATTACATTCTGAGCCTGCGACCGCTTACGTGCTCCACTGGTGTCAAGGCCTACACACGTGCTGTGTATATCTTTCCCCATCTTCCTTTTGGTCCTTTGTACCATTCGGTCAACGGGATATGAAAGCGAGATAACGACGGATAAAGCGGCTTTTAATACGGGAATGGTAAGCGAGCAAGTAATTTACGCTAGAGCCCTTTAAAATCGAAAAGGGTTTACCATTTATTGCTATTTAACTAAATTCACTAACGTCACGTATTATACGTATGTATCTGTCTATTCAAGTCGTTGTATACAGGGACTAAATAAATTTTATTGAAGATTAATATATTGTGACTGTTTTGTAAGTTTTGTTATCTTGAGATAATCAGAATTTGTTTCAAATGCTTTGTCAGTGTATTATAGATAAACGCGACTGATATCTCTTGTTAACTCTTGTGATAACTCCTTTGATTTCTTTTTTCTTCGTGATTTTGTGTCCATTTTGTAATCAAAACGTTTTTAATCTGTTGTAGAATATTTAAAAAAAAACGAACGGATAGAAAGGATCGCGCCAATGAACGTGCAAATGGAGGAAGAGGACGTGTCAGAGGACGATGGGCAGCCTGTCCAAGTGGTACTTGCCCATCCAGATCATACCTTCGAATTAGATGAAGATGCATTGTCTAAAATTCTCTTACATGACGACGTGAAAGATAGAAGTGTGGTTGTCGTGTCTGTTGCAGGTGCCTTTAGGAAAGGCAAAAGTTTCCTCCTTGACTTTTTTCTTCGTTACATGAACAACAAGGTAGGTGAAAGACTAAATTCAAGCAAGCGTTGTACAATTGTAATCGCCGATATTGAGCAGCGTTGCATCAACGCGCAATCACAAATACTTACCAAGTTTGTATTATTCCACGCTCGCTCGTTCAACTAACTCGAAACTCTGACCACGCTGAAACCACGAATGCCACGCCACGTACGACCGTAATTTCTGTTGCATCAACGACAGTACACGTTACACAGCGACACGGACAATTGGTTGGGCGCCGAGGATGAGCCGTTGGGCGGTTTCTCGTGGAGAGGCGGTTCCGAAAGGGACACCACGGGTATATTGATGTGGTCGAAGATTTACCCCGCTACCTTGGCAAATGGCGAGAAGATCGCTGTAATTCTTATGGACACTCAAGGCGCCTTTGACAGCCAGTCGACCGTTCGGGACTGCGCGACGGTGTTCGCGTTAAGTACTATGTTGTCCTCCGTGCAGATATACAATCTCTCGCAAAACATCCAAGAAGACGATCTCCAGCATCTGCAGCTATTCACCGAGTACGGTAGACTGGCGCTGGAGAGCTCCGACAGTACGCCGTTCCAGAGATTGCAGTTCTTAATCAGGGATTGGGTTTATCCGTACGAAGCCGAATATGGCGCGGATGGTGGACGAAAATTGCTCAGTAAGAGACTGGAGATCTCTGACAGACAGCACGCGGAATTGCAAAGTCTGCGTAAGCACATCAAGTCCTGCTTCTCGGATATATCCTGTTTCCTTATGCCGCATCCCGGTCTCGAGATCGCGACGAATCCGAAATTCGACGGTAGATTGTCCGAAATACAAAGCGAGTTCAAGAGGCAGCTGAAGGTGCTCATACCGATGATACTGGCACCGGAAAACCTAGTAACGAAGAAGATCAATGGCCAAGTCGTGAAAGCGCGAGATCTGTTGGAATATTTCAAGAGTTACATAAAAATCTATAAAGGAGATGAACTTCCTGAACCAAAAAGCATGCTTGTGGTATGTATAAAACTTCATGTTTCTCTTTATTTTATAAAAATTATAATTTAATAAATATCCAATAATTTCTGGGTTTTTCGCGATTGAAACAAGCAGTCGTGTTATCTATTACGTTATCTATTAGTGTTTTCTACTTACAGGCCACAGCAGAAGCAAACAACTTAACAGCTGTAGCCGAAGCTAAAGATTTATACCTTCAGATGATGGAAACTATATGCGGTGGAGCAAAACCATTTTTGGCGACCGCACACCTAGAATCGGAACATCATCATTGTGTAGACTCGGCTCTTCGTCAGTTCCAGAATAAACGAAAGATGGGCGGAGAAGAGTTCAGTCAAATATATATGGAGAAATTGATTAAGGTGAGTCTAATCCTCAATTAACTCTTATATATTATCCTCAAAACTGTTGAAATGCACGTTACATTTTCTCTTAGGTATTTTAATTATTTTTAATTCGATCTTTTACTTCATCGAAAACGTTATTTTCCTTTTATAATAGGACATGGACGAATCTTTCTTACAATTCAAGGCGCACAACGAGAGCAAAAATATTTTTAAAGCAGCGCGAACTCCTGCAGTGTTTTTCGCGATCGCCGTCACTATGTATATTTTATCGGGAATATTTGGTCTTGTCGGTCTGTATACGATAGCGAATGTGTGCAATCTTATTATGGGTATCGGCCTCCTCACACTTGTCCTCTGGGCATATATAAGGTAAGTTATACAAGGCACGTATGAAATCATTTTCGCTGTTGGTTTGGTCGTCTTCTTACACCATTTCTTATTAATGTTTTTTTTCGCACGTAGGTATAGTGGTGAATTCAGAGAAATTGGCACGCAGATAGACGATTTAGCCAGTACTATATGGGAAAATGTAAGTGTGCAAGTTTTCTTTTTAGATCAAAAGTTTCTTATCTTTCACATCTGTCTGTCAATCTCTTTGTTGTGTAGATACATGAAATATTTCTGATAAAAATTATATTGTTTACAGTGTACTAGTGAAAAACAATATTTGCGAAAGGTAGAGATTTTTTCCTTCACTTTATTAGTCTTATATATAAACATATAATGTACTTATTTTTCTTATAATATTTTGTTATATATTTAACATTTTCTTATTATATTTACGTAAAAGCAAAATTGATGGAAACATAATCGATTTGAAAGAAAAAAAGTTATAATTATTAGCATAAAATGTTCACTAACTATCAAAATCCGCACTAAAATCACATTTACAAAAATTTATATGTATTTTTCAAATGTCACATATAAACCGCACTTATCTCTGTCGTAATGTGTATATAATTTGCATATTATTAACGTGGATCATTACATATAATTAATATCTGTCATTTTCTTATTGCAACAGGTCTGGCTATGCGCTCATCTTTGTTACAAACTAACGTATAAATTAAGATATCTAATACTTTCCGTTGTCGTGACTATTCTCGCGATACCTGTATGCCATTACACTTATCTCGACCTTCGTAGACACGGCTACATCTGATCCCACGCTTTTCTCCCTCTTTAATTTTCACGCTTACAGATTATTCTAGTCTCGTTATTTCAGTCTCACTTCTTAGGTAACGGTTGCGTTTTCACACGTCTATATTTCACTAATTCTTTTCGTACTAATTTGAGTCATTTGACGATGAAAAGCATAATCATTAATATCATTTTTTTATTGTTCTTTTTTATTCCTATCATAAGCTGAGTGTTAACAGGAGCAAATATCGAAAAGGTATGGCATATACGATCATATATTCGATAACTATTAACATTGACTGCATTTTCCTGCTAAAATGTTACAGTCGCGACTGCTTAATCAAAATTCGTATTTTTACTTGGGTATAATTTAAGTTCCATGTAATAAATGCTACAACCTGAAACCGAGAAAGAAACATATGATTTCAAATGTGTAATACCATACACATAATTATTATTAAGGTGTGCAGTAATGAAATGAAAAATTATTTCTTACTTTTGTTCAGTTAATGAAGCCAGTCTACCAACAATTTGTGGAGAAGTCTGTATCTGTAGCAGTGGCGCAGGCTGCTGAAATGGCTACAAATTCAACATTGAACGCCACTGTCACTGCCAATGGCAAACCTAAATTATTGTAATATTCATTCCTAGATTAACCGAATTGTTAAAATGGATCGAAGCATTGTATCCTTATGTTAACACCAATAAGTGGCATATAACCAGACTTTATATAATAATTGTCTTCTGACGTACCGCCATGAATAGTTTTTTTCTTTGTTCAAATCAAATTAAAGATTATAACTTGAATATACTAATTTGAAATGACTATACATGATAGTGATTGAGAATGTATACACGAAATAATTATAAAAGAGATGAAAATATTGTGATTGCTAGTATATCCTATTTTCTTTTGATATTGTTATAAAAATAAAGTCTTATTAAGTGGAAAATATTATATAGCTTGATCTGAAAGTTTTATCATGGGGATGTTATTACCTAAAATTATAACAAACTACTAATTATCACAAGGATAAAGAAATGTGCAGTTGTTAAAATGTTAAGAGAAATTAGAAAAATAAATGTATGCAATAGCTTTTCCTTTTCCATTAAATATGTGTAATTTTTTTTCTTGTTGTATCCATTACATCAAAGATGCATTTTGCAATTAATCTTCTTTTTTATTTTTTACACATAAGCAGGATTTTGTTTTGTTTTTTCCTTTCTTATCAAGATTACATGCCTGTTATTTTATTTTTTATTTATATGCTTGGACTAACAAAGTTCAGATTTTGTTTGTGCCAGAAACACTTGTACGTCAGTTACTGTACTGAACTATTTTTTTAATAAAAGAAAGAATGTATATACCGCGCACGATGTTACTGACATTCTATATATTTTGAAACAGCGATAAAGATACTTAGATAAAAATACTTACAATTCATTTACCACTATGTAAAGGAGATATTCACACGCCATATTGCTGTAGTATATGAAATACAATATCTCAAATTTGTCCGATATTATATTGATCTAATTAAGTGTTTAAAATAAGTCTACATATTATATTATGCTAACACACTGTTAATAACGCTCACATTTGCGTCATAAACATATGCTGGGCTTTATTTCTTGTATTACTCATTGAATAAATCTAAAAGTTCTTTTATCTAAATAGTACTTTTTCAAATTCTTAAAAGTTTGTGATATTACATTTATTTTTACCTAAGAAATAAAAAATATATCAAAATCAAATATAATATCAAATAAACTACATATATATTTTATAAATTGTCAACTTTTTCATATCGTATAAACTTTGTTCAATGAGTAATCTCAATAATAAAATCTGACATATGCAAATATTTAAATTCGATCTTCTTGCCAAGCGATTATTTTATATTTGATCGAATGTATTTGATAGAATTAAGTATTTATCTTTTGGTTTATAATACCAGAATTTTCTAACGAAATTCATTAACAAATTAACATTGAATTAAGATAAATAAAGTATTAAATTCGTACGAAAAATTTTATCGTAAAGTACTAATTATTGCGGATTATTCATTGTAACGTATAGTTCGAAAAATATGCATATATGTATACATGATGTCACCAAGAAAGGAAAAGATATTTGGTGGTGGTTATAGTAATACAGTTTGGTCGATCGAAATATTCAATTTTTTGAAATATTTGTATTAAAAAAAGCTATATATCAAAATCTCATATATTTTTATGTAAGAAACACTACTACTTCTTTACGATATTAAAAACTTATTTCTAAGAAATATTATTTTTTTTGTTTTGAAATCATATTTTACGTATAGTTCTATTAATAATTAAATATAAATATCGCTATAAACAGGCAGTTACAAACATTTTTCATAGATGCATTTGTTTTAATGGTTGAAGTACAATACACATGAGTCGACAACTTTATTATTAATATGGTACTTATAATTTCATTGTGCTTTATATACAGGATGGGTAAGATGATAGAATTTAGCAGATTATGCATCATTAAGGGTGCCATTAAATTTAACTTCGGATTATAAAGATTTGAGAATCTCGTATTAAATTTATTTACTAGACTTATGAAAATCTTTAAGTTTCACTTATAATTTTATAAACTAGTTATATAAGAGTAAATAAATTTGGCACGAGTACACATAAAATTGAGTTTGTAATTAAGTTCAATAACTGCAATTAATGTCTAAATCTTTATTCTTTACTATGATACTAAAGTATCGTACTTTAAACTCGAATACTTTAAATTCGAGGTAATATGTACATAACAACGATTGTTAGTAAACCGTAATTTTCATATTAGAACAGTTGATATAATGCAATTTTATAAAATTAAAAATTGATATAAATACCGCGCGCGCGCGCGCGATAATAGTCAAATTGTTCAAGTCACTTGGAGATGTCGATATTTATCGAGAGAAGAGCTTGTTGTAATATCTTAAATATTTTACGTAGTTATGTGATGTAATTAGAAATATGGAACAAGTGACATTTTATTGGGGATAATTTATAGACTTGACTATATATGTATATTGACAAAGTTACCCTCTGATTGAAAGTTTTGTATTATAAAAAGGAGCTTGTTTTTAGGATGCATTATGTATTTCATGTGTTATTCTTCAGCCATCCATTTTATACTAATATTGTAATAAAAATAATATATGGAATAAAAAAATGTATCCACATCTGTAACTCTCTCTCTCTGCAATAGTTAAACATTGTAACTTTTTAATTCAATGTTGCTAATATTTAAGGTTCAACCAGCATATACTTCTTGATAACATTATTATAGCTAAATTGTCGGTAAATTATGGGTAATTATGGGTAAAAATAAATATTTTTTTATTTATAAAATAAATGTACTTTATTTCTCTTTCTTAAATAAACGAACGTATTTCAACTTATAGTAAAATATAGTACTTGAGAAGTTTACCAATCAAGACTTAAACATTTTTCTTACCATATCGTTGCATTTTTGAGTCGCTTCCTGTAATCTAGTGTTATAAAAGTGAAACTGTTCTTTCACTGTGTGATTATTAGGCTCTAAGGTAAGTGCTGCTTTTAAATCTGCCACTGCTTTTTCATTATCCTTCATACTTCCATATGCTATTCCTCTTCTGTACAAAGCTTTAACATTGTTCTTATCCTTGTTCAGTACTTTAGTGCACAGAGTAACTGTATGCTCAAAGTTCTTTTGATTCAACTGGCATCTAGCCATATTGTTGTACAATGTGAGTCTTAAATTATTAATATTACTCTCTGACTGCTTGTCCAATTCTAACTCTGACATTGGCTCCAATGTTATCAGGATTTTACATGACCTGCTGAATTTGTGAAACGCATCGACAAATCTGGAGCTTTTGAACAACTCAACGCCTATCTCTTTATACTTCAAAGCTATGTTATACTTTTCCTCTGGACTCCATTCCCAGATTGGCTTGTGTCTCTCACATTTAATCAATGTTATCTCAAACTTAACTGGCACATATTCATTTTTAACTTCTGACTGTGATGGCATAGTAATAGTAATCAGACTCTTCTCGAAGATATTCATCATCTCAATCGCTCTCTCGACTTTTCGGTCAATTTCTGCGCTTGCTTCGCCTATAACTAGCACTTTCTCACCCTCATTGTTAAGAATGTTTGTATGATATTTTTCTTTTAGTACATCTTCCGATATTCCCATAACATTTATGTTTTCCACGAGAACGTTACATGTGGAGTATTCGGTTGGTTTCTTGGTAAATACGCCTGACTTTAGCACGTTTTTCCTGATTTTCTTGTCCACCGATTCCCATTGTTGTAACATCGTGGTAACTTATTGACGACTGACTATAAAACGATATTCCCTTATTAGATACAACTAAATAAAGATATTATCATTACACTAATATAGTGCAAGTATGACATGTTAAACTTTATTATTTCTACATATACTCTTTAAGTATAGTACTTACTGTAAACAATAACACTGCAACCTAACCTACAGCCGCCTGAATCGATAAAGATACATGTGACATTTGATAATCGGCTAATCTTTGTCCAAAAATCAATATAACATTCATTACATTTTAAACGTTTTGTTAATTAAAACTATAGTCTAATATAATTCAAATTTATCATGCAAATTTTCAACATCGAACAAATTCAATGAATCAACAGTAACGGGTCTAATAATCCCGTAGACCCGCTATTTTTACGCGATCAGAGAGAAGCCTCAGTCCGGTGTCCCATTAAACGGAAATTCTTAGCGGAACGGAACGCGCGCATCAATCACAATTACTCCATTCTATTTACGAAAAGAATGAAGTAACTGTGATTGCGCGCGTTCCGTTCCGTTAAGAATTTCCGCCTAATGGGACACCGGCCCAGACTTTTCTCTGGTCACACTATTGATATGCAGCGATAACGACGAATCAGCAGTCAAGAAGATTGAAACGCTTGTACCGCGAAACAAAAATAATATGCGAAAAGAAAAAAATGTAATAAAATTTGTTAGCTATTTCGAACAAATCTACTAGACGTAAATTATTAAAATCCAATTTTTTGCAATTAATTAAGAAATCATTGTTTACATAATTATGTCGAAATCGTTATATCGATAAAAAGTTTGTTAATCGAATAAACCGTACACATATATTTTTATGTAGTTGGAGTCCTACATGAGGAACTGAAGTCATGATTCAACTCAATAGTGTATCAGACATCTTTTCTATTTTTCAAGTAACATAAGCAGAATTCAACAGACTACGGCAAAAATGACGATAGCGAAATGATTCGAGAAGTATCTTAAAGCTCGAAATCTCTACTTTTCAGGTATATCAAGTTCATCATGTTTCTTTCATTTATTACAAAAACATATCGAGTTAATTGAAAAATAATAACTGTTTAATTTTCAACTTTATCTTTCAGTTGTATTTTCACAATAAAAATTTATTTTCATAAAAAATGATTATTTGATGTTTGTGTAGCACTGTAACAAACAGGTAAATATTTACAATAATATAACTAAAAATTATAAATTTCAAACATGCTTTTTAAATAAACTCATTACTATTATTTTTACCAAAGTTACATCTTATTACCTTAATAGCACATATCCAGAAGACATCCAGAGTATATCCTGAGGAAATCCTGAGGATTTCTTCGTCCTCAGGACTTCCTCAGGAGATTTTATGCTGTCTGGGTAAATTTTGTCATTTTTCACGATTGAGAAAAATATATTTCTAATTTGTCAGATAGATGACTTTTTCATTTTCTTTTGATAAACAAATCCATTATAACTTTGTATGAATTATATTACTGAAAAATTATAAGAGTAAGTTGCAAAAATAATTCGACTGACATACAGATATTTTATGGTTTTAGTATCATATTTAATTTTCTTCATGGCATTTAATTTTTTTTTTTTTGGTAAAAATATAATCAACTTTCATAGTGATCAGCGCGCGCCGTTCTATTTGTTGGTATACCAACTAACAAGTAATTCTTAGGTGTACACATTGGTGGAATCAGCTGTCCCAGATGAACTTTATATCCGAATTGTTCGGCGTACAGCTTTCTGTCCGTATCCACGATTGTCATACATCGGTATCCTTGCGCAGTCTTGACATTCTGTTCAGAGCAACAGTGATGATGCGTCTGATCCGCAGCGTGACTCAAGAACGAGTATTCTCGATTTCCAAGATGCTCCTTGAAAATATCGCTACGCGGATATGTAAGTCGATGACAATCCTGCACAAAGCCATAGCAGCACGGACAACATACGAAGATCGCGTTCTTCTCTACGCAAGATTGAATAACCAAATCCGTCGCAACACCGCAAGCATGCAGCGACATGCCGATATCGAAATTGAATTTGAAATGATTGAAATTACCATGACATAGCCGGACATTCGTCAGCCTCAGCTTTTCCACTCTTTCTCTGGCAAAAGCCATGGATCTATCCTTGTTCTCCATCAGAATGACCTTGCAACGAGGTAGCAAATACGCTATCAGTATCCCCAAATGTCCGGAACCCGAGCAGAAGTCTACGATAATGTCATCGTCCTTTGCCAATTTCAGCACTGCCTTGCACAGGTTCTGCAGTTGCTCTCGTTTTCGATCGCGTCGCGTGGCTGGCACGTGTCCATTTTCCGGCCTAGCTTCGTAAGGCACATCGGTCCAGTTCAGTCCATCTACTTCTGCACCGAACGGCTCGGCATCGAGTTCCATCGACACTTTCATACTTTCAACTAATCGCAACGAATGTTCTATGTCTTCCTGTTTTGTGCGGTTTCCCGGCTTAGGAGAGCTATTGTATAAAGACTCGTCGACTACAGCTGGAAGCGTGTACTGAAGCTCACTTAATTTATGACTCTTCTGTGTGGGTAGACATCTGATGCATTTTTTCATACGTTGATCCGCCAACATTCTATCGTACCATTTGATAGTCAGTGGTACTAATTTTGGTATCGTTTGGCTTGAGAAGGTACTCAGCAACATGTGCATGCATACAAATATAATTATATCAGATAAAGTGATATGCACAGCCTCGACATATTCGTGTTCCCTTGAATCTGTCCCATCCTGCTGAACTATATCGAGCGCAGCAAATTGTTTGCCCAATGGATATCTGTGCTTATTGTGCAGTCGGATTGGTCTAGACATGTGGCATTCGAATCTAGCTAAGCTGGTGGGGAGTAGGAGACTATTTGTATTCAAGTGCTTCAACGTCGAGATAAGATCGACTTCACAGAATTTAGTCCACGCACATGTCTCAGAGGAAACTTTCAAGCTGCCAGATCTAAAGCCTAATAACTTCAAATATTGGTTCATTGAAGGTGCTGAAACCACCTCCTGTATAATCTGACGCAAAACGATACACAAACCAGACACACAACTGTATTTACTTATAATTAAGCACGGTAATTCGCACGAACTCGCGTAACAAGGTACTTCGCTTACAATCTCATAGACAAAACTCGAGAGATCTATTTTGTAAGCTTGCTCAGTCGGATCTTGGTCGATTGGTATTAGCTTAATATCAACCGACGATTCGCAGTACTTTATAGTGAATAGAGCCACTATTGTTTCAATAGGAGCTAAACATAAGTCTGTTACAGAATATACTGACAAATATACTTCGTACATGTTGTCCTTGTGCATTTCTTTCTTGGACAAAAATATATAAAAATATTAAACAAAAGATATAAAAATATCAAACACACAAAGACACTACGCAGCCTCAAACGTTACACGCAGCATTCATACACTGACGCGCAATTGTCTAGCCACTTTCCTGATTATTCTCTGTCTCAATACATTCTCTCTCCAATATATGCTGAGACAGGAGGTAACTGCCAGGGCAAACATGAAACCTTCAAACTTCCAAAATGTTCTTTCCTCTAACCAGGCTACTTTGTCGCAACTGTAATACAAAATACACTGTAATACATGTGTCACAAAAAACTATAGAAATCTGAAGTTGTTGGAGTAAATCTTGCGTGTATCTATTTTCATTCACCTTCTGGTTATTGTTTCCCCACTCTTACACTTCAGCACTTCCTTGTACCTGGCATGGACACAAATGCCGATACTTTCACTAGCAATCTCAAAGGCTGTGCATGGATGACACTCAGACAATACTTCATATTCCTCTCCCGAGATACAGATGGAATTATTTTCAAAATTATCAAGATAAAGTTTGCTCGAACTGTCTGTCCAATGGCTCTCGATAATTAGCGCTAAAATAGTTAATCTGTAAGGGATACAATTAATTTAATAAAATGCGAATACTATATATGTATTTACAGCATCTAAATGTAAAGTAATCCATAGCATCACTTAGAGATGTTTACAATTAAATTTTGCATTTTATGAATCCAGTAATATTGACTATTGCATCATTATTCGTTAAATATATATTTCATGAAAAAACCAGGTTAAGTTAGATTAGATTAGCACGGATATTGTTTTTCACTTCCAAGTTATTATCATTGACTTATAATATTGTGTATAGTAGTGTGTAATTAATAAATTTCAAATACCCAACTAACCCTCCTAGAAATGTAATACCTAACAACATACGCTTTTTCGTACAAGATTCAATCATTTCGAACTTTAAATCCTTTTTCTCTTGATCAGCTGATACCAGAACGCACTAAGGGCTCTCTCTCTCTCTCTCTCTCTCTCTCTCTCTCTCTTCTTGGTTGCAAGCCTAACTCGGTGGCTCTTTCACCATATACGTCGTTGTTGAAAAAATGTAAGTTAGGAGATTAGGAAAGAGCAGTTTCAATTTTCTCACGCTGTTTTAAATTGTCAACTATCAACTTTAAACTAGCGACACACGATGCTTGTTTCGTGCTGGTTAAAAACACTCTGTTCTGATTGGTACATTTCTGAAGATGGATGAAAATGCACCAATCAAAACAGAATATCATCCAGCAAGCAATCCAACACGAAACAAGCATTGTCTGCCGCTGGTTTTAGTTGGAATACTTGGTCTATATATTATTAGTTGTGTTTAGTAAGAAAACTGCTTTTCAATTGTAAAATTCGTGAATCTGATTGATGAATGCTTTTAATTTTGGTTGAATCTAAAAGCTATTATAAAATTTATGAATCTGATTGGTGTATTTTCTTGGATTCAGCCAAGATTAAGGTTAGTTTACAATAGATGTCGTAGCCGTAACAATTGGCCAATCATAGCCGATTATATAATAATCGACTGTGATTGGTCAATTCTTATGGCTTACAGATTACGACACCTATCGTAAACTAACTTTAAATAATTGCAAAGTAGTCTCTCTATTGAGTGCTGCTATTGGTTCTCACGCCTAAACGCGAATTTTCATATGCAAAGTGTCGAGTAGGCCACGCGACCGTCTAACCTTAAACGCGCGATAGCAGAGTGCGCCAGTTGTATCGGCGAGTTGCGGGGGTTTCGTATTTCATAATGTCCGTAAATATTTCGGTGAGACAGTTCGATCGCGCGAGTCCTATGTGAGTGAGACCTTGACTTTAGCACGCGCACGATAAGCGCTGGAAGCATCAAGAAACGTACGCATCCCCGAGAATCCGATAAAGTCCTTGTCGCGGGCCGATCGCTATCGGTCTACCCGGCTGCGGAAGCTAATGCGAGAAAAAGAGAGAGAGAGCCAACGAGAGGCACAGTCAAGAAAGATACATAGAGAGAGAAAATCGCTGAACGCAGGTAGACGCGAACGTGCGCGTACGTGAGTGATCAGTGAAATTTAATGAAATTAACGACACAATGAATGATCTTCGTATATCTTGTCATTCCGTGTAAATCGACTTTCTTTTTTTTCTACATTACAGACAGGTTAACAAAGTAGAGAAAGAGAGAGAGAGAGTTACTGACAAGTTAACAAGAAGAGAGAGAGAGTGAGAACGAGATAACTCGGAATTTGTCGTGCCAAACTCGGCAGATTCGCGTCCGAACGTTTTTCTTCCTCCCTAGAAACTTCTTGTTGGATCGCCCAATATCCTCTCCCACTGATTCTCCCTCGCTCTCTTCCCCGTGACCCCTGTGCGACTGCAGTTTGTTGCTGGAGCGCTACGAGGTGGCCATTCAGCAGCCGTACAATTTACGTGTAGTTAACGTGTCCGGGCAGGCACGCGTGTAGCATGCTGGTGACGCGCGCGTGTGCGTGCATCCGTCTTCGACTACTCGCATCGCGCTCGTGAAAGAACCCGGCCCGTAGTGGCGGTCCCTCGGCGGCCGCGACAGTGAGTGAGGAGAGTGTGGAGGGCGACGGGTGGCGGCGACGGCGGCGGTGGTGGTGGCTGTGGCGGTGGCAGCACAAGGGGGGGAGGAGGCCTTTCGCCCCCTTCGCGAGCCAGACGCCGGTAATGAGTGTTTACACCGCGAGCACGCCGACAGCGAGTAGCGCGGTATCACCGGCGATAAGTGCGATTGCGACAACGACAACGACGGCGGCGACGACGACGACTGCGGCGTCGTCCACGGTAGCGGCAGCAACAGCAATAACAACGACGACGGCTACGGCGACCACGTCGGCGGCGACGGCGACGACGACGGCTACGTCGTCCACGACGACCGCCGCGTCGCCCGAAGCAGCGACCGGCTGGATCGAGTTCTGCGAGAGACACGCCCGCGCCTCGGCCTCCGATTTCGCCAAGGCATTCTGCGCCTACGTGAGCCTGAACCTGCCCGAGAGCGCCCGCGCCAACCTTTCGCATCGCGACTTCCTCAGGAAGTTCGTCGAGAGTTTTTGCGAACACTTCGAGAGCGAGTACCTACGTCATAATGTGAGGTCGGTGTCATGACCGCCACGGCTCTTGTATGCTTTATTGCGCGCTTGTCGTTTTGTAGGGCCGTTTGTTGTGACGTAGAATCATAGCGGAAATCGTTAACCTTTCGTTAACAGCGATGCAGTCTCGTGCAATTCGTTACGCACACGCTTCACACTGTTGAATGTGGATATTGGTCGATGAAAATTCGCGTTCGCGCATGTCGTTAGAAAAGAGAGAAATATATAACTAGTGGAGAAAGATAAAAAATTAAGAGAGAACATCGCGATGAGAGTAAAGGAAAAAAAATATCTTCAGAAATTTTTTTTAAATAACGATTCTTTTCTTTTTCTAATAATCATTTATATGTATTTAGTGCATGTTTTAAAAAGACTTATATTGTTTATTTTAAACATATGTTTTATGACAAGCTAGGTTCTGCAAGATCAGGCCTTTGATGAAGAACATGGATGCACTATATAGATAACTATTTTTAAATCGTTAATCTAACGTTAATGAAATATATATATATAGTTTTATTTCCTTTAGCTAAGTCAATGAAGTAAAAATTTTTAGAAACTATATGAAAGTGACTTCCTTTGCATGTAGCAATTCCAAGAAAAATTTTATTTTCACAAAATGGCAGATTTTATAAGGAAAAGTAACGAATTTTCAGTGAAAATCGATCTTCTTATGTATTCATTGATTATTTTGTGTATGTTTTTCATCGAGTTAAAAAAAAAATCCATACGTGCAAACAAAAAAAATTCAATTACGAAATATTTTAAATAAATAAATTCTTGCTTACCGGTTTTAAAAAGATAATTTTGAGAGATACACGTTAAGTCGCACTTAATGCCCTACATACTTTATATTATCCTCTAATTTTGTTAATTTTCAACTAATTTTTAAACAATTCTTCAAAACTGATTTTTCAGAAAATGCGATAACAAAGACTGATTTTTTAAAGTTTCTACTGTGATGTTCCTCCTTAATAATAAATTAAACTTTATACAAGATGTTTGACATTAAATGTCTCATACTTTATATACATGTATATTAGATCAAACGTAACACAAAATTCTTGTACCATTTTGCTAATAACCATGTCAAATTTTATATCCTATAAGCGTAATAATACACGTATATTTGCTTTATTCTCTTTATAAATGTTAAATGCTTTATTATCTTTATAAATGTTTATTTTATATAAAGATGTAGAAAGCGAGAGAGAAAATAGATAGATAGATTTGGAAAAAGATAGACTGTAAAGGCATAAAGGTTATAAGTTTCCTTGTGTTTTTTAGGTCACCACCATTGCATGATGCCAAGAGTGCAGCGGCCAATGAGAAAGATATAAACCTTGCAAATCAGAATGCCACTAACACACCGGTCCGTGCGTCGTCGCACGAGGAATTCAGCGATTATTCCGAGCACGAGGGAGAGGCGATGTCGCCGAAACCTATTCACAAACCATTCTTCCGCAGACTATCTTTTAAAGGACTCAAAAAAGGCAAAAGTTTCTTCCACAAACAACAGAGTGATGAGGTTGAGCTGTCGCACAGTGAACATCGCAAGGATAAGCATTCGAAAGCCAAGTTGTCGAAAATCGTGGTAGAGTGTAGGAAGGAAGGAATCGTCAATTCCTTGATGGGCGAAAACATAGACGGTACTCAAAAATGGGAGAAGTCGCGATTAGCTCTGATAAAGGCCATCGGCGGCTACATGCTGGAGTTTTACTCGCCGCCAAAAGCGGTGAAGCCGCGAAGCGGCGTCTTTTGCTCGGCAATCACGGAAGCGCGGGAAACCACGGCGCTCGAGATGCCAGATCACGAGAACACGTTCGTTCTAAAAACCCAAAATATGGAATTCGTTATAGAAGCGCACGACTCGAACGACATGAGATCGTGGCTGGCCACGATCAAGTACTGTATACGAACGGTGCAGCAGAGTTCAAGCGCTCCCGGTTCTAGTACAGGTGAATCAATAGGAGATTCCCTGGGCCATGGTTCCTTGACGATCGGACCCGACAGCGATCGATTACGAGCCAATTCGGCGAGTAAGACCTTCCGATCGGCTAGTCACGAGCATGGTGATGACCAGCAGGGGAATCCGCCGGAATTGCCGCCGAGACTCCGAACGCGCAGTAGCAGTAACCTTGAATTATGTACCTCTCAGCAAGAAATCGAGCAAAGTAAGAGAATGGTTATATTATCTAAGAACAATATTGTTGATCGACAAGGGACTCTGAATAATTCATTTGTACACTCATTCGTTTACAGTGTCTGCTAATGAAGGTGAACTAGACCTGTCGAGTAGCTTACGAGAGTACCCATGGTTCCATGGTACTCTTCCTCGGTCGGACGCTGCGCAGCTTGTGTTACACAGTGCAGCTAACGGTCACGGAGTATTTCTCGTACGGCAAAGCGAAACAAGGAAAGGCGAATTCGTATTGACATTCAATTTCCAGGGAAGAGCTAAAGTAATTGCAGATATTATCTTTAACGCGCTTCTTAGTAATAATACTTGAATCGCTCTTATCTCCTCACATCACATCCGTGTATCATTTTCATTACAGCACTTACGGATGACGCTGAACGATCAAGGTCACTGTCGAGTCCAACACTTGTGCTTTCCCGCGATATACGACATGCTCGAGCATTTTCGACAGAATGCGATACCTCTTGAGTCCGGCGGCACAGCGGATGTTACTTTAACGGAGTACGTGGTGGCGAACCATACGCCGCGACCGGTACCGGTGCATCACAACGTGGCGAGCGCGAGCGTGCATCAGCCGCAAGAGAGGAGACCGGCGGCGCTCCCGGAGCCCAGAGAAGTAAGAGTCTGCAGTGGAAGTCTAACTCCTCTTGTGTGAGCGCGAGTGGCCAACACCCACAGTCTGAAGTCTAATCTACAGACAGTGAGTAGATAACCAGCTAAAAAGCGCCCATTTATCGTATGGTCGGTGATATATGACAAATTCAGTCGGTATCCGCAATTTCTGCGAACGTATTAATAAACTCGATGAATCTTTGTATCTAGATTGATATACAAAGTTAAATTATGGAATATGACTTATTTATGTATTCTCTCTCTCTCTTTCTCTCTCCTCCATACATATATATATATATCTCCCCCATATCTCTCTCTCTCTCTCTCCTCTTACAACGAGAATCATTATATTTATTATAATTTATTTAATTAATATAGTGTTCAGAAAGAAAGAATACAGAAAAAGGAGAATTTATATTGCACCATATATGTTATTGAAATTATTAAAATTCTTTATACACTCACATTTCCTTTGATTTCCTTCTTCTCTTATATCCAAGATTCATTGTTTTAAAACTCATCTTTTATTTATTTGTTCTTTTGTGGAAAACACAATGATTTGATTAAATTTGTATATCATTCACTTAAATATGCAAAATTGTCACTCGTTGAAATTATCGTAAAGTTTAAGATAACGTGAATATCGTGGTATAAAAGCATAGTTTAGAAAAACATGACAGTGGGACAAGGAGCTCGCTTTTACGTGTAAAGGCTTTTTCTTGAAGTTTCTGGCTTGCTGGGTATCATGTAAGAGATTTATCTATTCCGATTTTCTTGAAGCAATGTAGGAATACCCAGAAGTACCGTGTCGACTGGCTAAAAAATTAATCTGTAATCATTATGTTGATCATTAGATGTCTATTTTATATATATATATATAAAATTTATATATATATATATTTTATATATATATGTCTATTTTATATATATATATATATATATATATTTTATATTTATATATATATAAAATAGACATCTAATGATCAATATAATGACAACATAATGATTACAGATTAATTATATATATATATATATATATATATATATATATATATATATATATATATATATATA